TCTCTCTCTCTCTCTCTCTCTCTCTCTCTCTCTCTCTCTCTCTCTCACACACACACACACACACACACACACACACACACACACACACACATCCATTTGCACTATCGAATGGCCCAACAGACGGAAGTCCCCGGGCCCGATTGGCGGATCTTGAGCTCTCCTTGTATCAGGCTTTGGAGAAGGCCACACAGAATGCAATAGCCGTGCAGATGGGAAAACTCTGGGTTTTGTGTTTTTGATAAGTTGAATGATTATGGTATCATGTATGACTTCCTGGACCCCCTCTTGTACGGGTTGTTCAAACGCTGCACATGCGTGACTGGCCTTCTCTGTGCGACATCTTACATGCCATTCTGTTTCCATACAATCTCTCTTGCTGTTTCCTCTCTTCTATCACCTCTCCCCCAAAGAGCACTCCTAGGAGCTCATTTGTTTGTGTGTAGGGGGCCTTGCTGGTTGCACTGCGTGCCAAACGCTCAGAATGGCAAGTGCATGGCATGGTTGGACCACCACTACAGATCCTGCTCCTCCAAAACTCACGACCGAATCCACGGTGAAAAAGGAAACACTTGAAACCAGATCCAGGGGGGCACTGGGGCGGGTGCACAATATATCGAGTATGACAACTTAGCCAAATTTTCATTCTCATTTCCGTTGATGGACAACGATTCCGAGAAAACATAAGGGATATAGGGTAGGCCTGATGTTTCAGGGTGGGCAGCCCAAGGGTGGTAGTTACTTATGATCCTGTCCTTGACGAGCCTAGAAACACCCAGTGCACCAAAGAAAAACAAACCGGCGCGTTCTCTTTTCTGGCTGCGCCCGCCAGCCATGTTGCTCTGGCAAGCCATGCCCCGAAAGTCACCGCGCATGCACGGCTGCGTCAGAGAAAAATGGCTGGGAAACTTACTGGTGGTTTAAGCCACCAGGGGCCTCCGAAAGTTGTGGCGGTTAACAAACCGGGACAATGATGAACAAATGGGCCACAGTGACTGTGGGAGCGCCCAAATTCACCCTACTAGAGACACTTCCACTCTGAGACTAGTTTTTTTTCCACGGCCAACATATGGTGGTTTAAACTACAAGTACACAAACTGGGAAAACTTGAGAATCCAAAATGAGTCGCTGTGAAAAGTTCGGATGAGCGGTGCTACCTGACCCACTTGGTGAGCAGGGGCAAGTTCAACCTGCCTCAGCAAAAAGAGGCTCAGATGTACTGGTGCTTCTCTCTCTTTCTCTCTCTCTCTCTCTCTCTCTCTCTCTCTCTCTCTCTCTCTCTCTCTCTCTCTCTCTCTCTCTCTCTCTCTCTNTCTCTCTCTCTCTCTCTCTCTCTCTCTCTCTCTCTCTCTCTCTCTCTCTCTCTCTCTCTCTCTCCATTACCCGAACACAGGACCAGAAAGATTGCTTGCATACATTTGTTATTCAGGGTGCATCGTGTTGGAGGGGAAGACCCTGATAACAAACGTATACAAGCCATCTTTCCAGTCTGGTGCAGCCATTATGAGGGTGCAGGGTGTTTGCACTGTTTGGGGGAAGATGCCTCTCATTATGGCCGTACCGGACGGGACAGATCACTTGCATACATTCGTTATCAGGGAAAGGTGTAGACATGAAGGTGTGGAAAATGAGATTGAAAATGACGGCAAAGGCGTAGAGATGGAGATGGAGGACAGGAAAGGAGAAGAGATTTTCCGCCAAGGGTCCAACAGCCAGAAAGTCCAGGGCATATGGACAATTCGCAAACGGCCAGGTAGGGGTATATGCGCAAGATGGCTGGTCTAATTGACGAGTGGGGTACTCGCAAAGTTACACGACTGTCGTAGGGGCATTTTGAAATGCCCATGCCTTTTAGGGTATCTGACCAAATACCCCAACTTTCAGGGGCATTCAAACAATTCTCCTTTTTTTTGTGAACCGTGGAGTGGTCTTTGGTTCATTTTAATTTGTCAATCGTGGTCCAGGAGCAATGGTTGGGCTACCTTCTTTCACCAAGTACAACGTACGGTCATTATAGCTGTATCTAGACTCAAAGATGCCTCAGATACAGCTATAAGGACCGTGCCTTGTACTCAGGGGAAGAAGGTAGCCCAAGTCTCTGGCCTCATGGGACTGTGCAAGGGTGGGGCCCATATGTTTGGAACTGCAGTCATATCCGAGTCCACACTCTCAACTGAACTACCATTTCGTCAAAATGGACTTTTTTTTTTTTTTGAACGAAATTGAAACCAAGTTTTTTGGCCGAAAACTCGTCCAATTTTGCTGCTCCTGAGGGTCCGGCGTTCTTTAAACGCTGAACCCCCTGGATGTATGTGGACTTAGCTTGAGACCAGATACATCCAGGACCCCCGTCTGGATGTATCGGGTCTCAAGCTAAGACCATATACATCCAGGGGGTCCAGTCTGGGTACCCAACGGCTGCACCAGCAGTCATTGACAAATAACCTGGGGAAGCAGTTGGAGCGGGGCTGGATTTCTATGGTAAGGAGCAGTTAGCAGTTTGTTAGGCCCCCGATGTGCCATGACGCTCCTTCGCAACATTCCCTGACGAACTGACGCCACTGTCCAAAGCAGAAAATTTGGGGTTGGCAAGGCCCCGCCGAAACGAAGAAAAGTGGGATCATTGGTAGATAGAGCCCACGCGGAAACCTTTCTGATGTTCCATGGCCAAACTTTTCCCGTTTGGCAAGATGGGCCCACGGCAAATAATACAGGTTGTCGGATGTAAAAATCTTGCAGCCAAG